TGTGTGTGTTGGGGGAGGCGCATGGAAAAACATTTTAAATAGAATATATATTGTGGTACATCCCTAAATGCAGCATATATATATATATATATATATATATATATATATATATATAGGAAAAAAATGAAGATGTAGTAAATGGAGAAAGAGTATATATCAAGAACCAGAAAGATATACATGCTGGTAATGTTACCAGTGGAGAGTGTACAGGTTCTTGGCGTTTTGAACAAAGAATTGGACAAAACGCACAAACAAATCAAGGAAAAAAGCAACAAAAGCAGAGATTTATTGAAAACGAAAGTACACTCCACAAGGTGGCAGCCAGTAGAGCACAGGGGCTCAAGGGCCATGTGCCAGAATTTTTCTGGTGTTTAAACACTCTCCAGAGGTTTCCTATAGGTCACTTGGTGTATACCCTATGTAAATGAAGTAGTGGCCCACACTCAGAGGCGAAGTGAAGTCACAAAGGTTACACCCTATGCAAGCATCTGATTGGTTGTGGAAAGCAACCAATCAGAGGCCAAAGTGAAGTTACAAAGTTACACTGCTATGCAAACTTCTGATCCGGTGTAGAAAGCAACTAATCAAAGATACTTAAAATTTTTCATCTGCCACGCAGAAAAGGTTGGGCGGTTTGTAAAAGGAGTAGCCTCCAGTCCTTTTGGTGGGTTTTTTCCTTACTTAGGTGGGGAAAGTTGGGGTTTTCCTTTTGATTTAGTTCTAGGAAGTCAGCGTGAATGGCCTTAGGTTCCCTGCCTCCAGACTCCTCTGCCTCAGTAACAGTTATTTTATCTAGGGAGGGAGAGTAGTTTCAGAGGCAAGGTATGAAGATAATTTTTTTTAATTTTTCTTTTTTCTTTTTTTTTTTTTTTTTTGAGACGGAGTTTCACTCTTGTTACCCAGGCTGGAGTGCAATGGCGCGATCTCGGCCCACCGCAACTTCTGCCTCCTGGGTTCAGGCAATTCTCCTGCCTCAGCCTCCTGAGTAGCTGGGATTACAGGCACGCACCACCATGCCCAGCTAATTTTTTGTATTTTTAGTAGAGACGGGGTTTCACCATGTTGACCAGGATGGTCTTGATCTCTCAACCTCGTGATCCACCCGCCTCGGCCTCCCAAAGTGCTGGGATTACAGGCTTGAGCCACCGCGCCCGGCCAATTTTTTTAAATTTTTCATTGGGATTTATTATTTATTTATTTTGAGACGATCTCATTCTGCCGCCCAGGCTGGAGTGCAGTGGCAATTACCTTTCACTGCAGCATCAAATTCCTGGACTCAAGTGATTCCCCCCGCCTCGGCCTTCCAAAGTGCTGGGATTACAAGCGTGGAGACTTCAGTTTTAAGTGAGAACGTTTTTGCAGTACTTACTTAGTATTAAGAAATAAAAACAATATAGAGTGGGGAAAAAAATCCACTGGTTTTGAAACGATTTTTAGTCCCACTTCTGTCTTTAGAAAGTCACTTAAACTGTGTTTTGGATTCCTCATCTGGAAGATAAAAATGGTAATAGAATTGACTTAGTAGGGTTGCTGTATGAGTTAGTGTATAAATGTTTACAATTACGCATGGCCCACAATAAACGCCACGTTTTCTATCAGGGAAGTCCTCACCTAACGCGTAAAACAGGAAGGCGTGCCCATCTAGATCCGGGCCCCGGGTTCTCAGGCATTGTGATTGGTCCCAGCATATGACGCAAGGCGGGATTCATGGACGAAAGTGCTGTCAATTAGCGAAGGGCGGAAACCAGGTGGAGAGGATGGTCCTTTAGTGCCGCACTTGAGCGACTCGCATCTCTCGGTTCAGGCTTGGCTATTGCGCATGCGTATGGCCCCCTTGTCGTCCCGGCGTGCGCCGCGATAGCTTCCGGCATGACGTAGTAGAAAAGATGGCGTGGCTGGCTAGTCGCTCTAGTGAGGACTTTTTCTGGTGAGGCGGGGCTGAAGGGTTGCGTCTCCCCTGTCTGTCCTGCGGCTCTGATTGCACCCTGGGTTCTTTGACGCAACAACTCGCAGTGATTGCGTGATACAGAGTCAACTGAGTCCTCAGGGATGCCTGGGATCGAGACAGCCCGGAGTGCCAGCTTTGTTGCCCTTCGGAGCTTCCCGTCCGTTCAGGTTCCCCAGTGAGGCTTCCTTTGAAGGGCTTGGTGCCTCTTGCCGTTTATGCTAAGGAAACACTCGTTTCCTAAAGCCCCATTGCGCCCTTGTACTGAGCGGTGTACCCTCAGCGAGCCCCCAAACTGGTGAAGTGGATAAACCCACCGGAAACAAATTCTAATGTTAGCGGGTTAAAATGGAGCAGCACGCTGAGAGACGTTACAGACAGGACCATAGAGTTCAGAGGATCAGGACGCTTCAAGAAGATGGGGGTATTAGTGTCATCAGTCATTATCCAAGACATTAGTCTTGTCTTTGATGGTGCACTCCTTGAGAACGTGAACTTTTTCTTCTGCATTTCCGATACTTAGGCTCAGGTGCCTTTACCTGGTTGGTAGAGATGGAGACCAGCTGTCCCTCGCGTTCATTATCTATGGAAAGGATGAATTAGGTCTTGGGGACTTAAGGAGGGAAGATTTTGGTAAACAAAGGCACTAATATGTTCCTGGGCTAGGGGTTCTCAATCAGCGCCCGACCCAGAGCACAAATGACAATTTTGTTGTCACAACTGAGGGGTACCACTGACATCTAGTGGGTGGAGGCCAGGGATGCAGCTAAACATTCTGCAAGGTACACAAGGTTCCCGCCCCACTCCCCAACCCCAAGAACTCAAAAAACGATATGGCTTAAAATGTCAGTGTGCTGAGGTTGTGAAACCCTGCCCTAGAATTACAGCAGAAATGGAGAGGGAGCAGATGTTGGAGACATCTCAGCCAAAGACCGGTTTTGTTTCGTTTTGTGTTCTTTATAATGCTTAAGTGATGCTCAGTTGGTTAGGTCTGATGAGCCCAGTCTTCCTCTTATTTTTTCACCCATTCATTCATACCTGGCAAATAAATACATTTAGCACCAAACACTATTCAAAGTGCTAGGATTCAGCGTTGAGCTGAAAAACCTTACGTTCTGGCAGGGGGTGACAGACATTAAACTTATATGTCAAGTAGTAATATATGCTATGAAGTTCCTGCAAGATGGAGTTTCTCTTACTACCACCACATACCTTTTATTCACATCCTTCTGAGTGCCAAGCACTGGGCTAGATACTTTACTCTTATCATGTATACTCTTTTCCTGTATGTTGCAAGGTGGGTATTATTTATTTTTATTTTTATTTTTTTTTTGAGACGGAGTTTCGCTCTTGTTACCCAGGCTGGAGTGCAATGGCGCGATCTCGGCTCACCGCAACCTCCGCCTCCTGGGTTCAGGCAATTCTCCTGCCTCAGCCTCCTGAGCAGCTGGGATTACAGGCACGCACCACCATGCCCAGCTAATTTTTTTTGTAGCTTTAGTAGAGACGGGGTTTCACCGTGTTGACCAGGATGGTCTCGATGTCTTGGCCTCGTGATCCACCCGCCTCGGCCTCCCAAAGTGCTGGGATTATAGGCATGAGCCACCGCGCCCGGCTATTTATTTTTTTATTTTTTGAGAGAGAGTCTTGCTCTGTCGCCCAGGCCAAACTGCAGTGGTGCGATTTTGGCTCACTGCAACCTCCACCTCTGGGGTTCAAGCGATTCTCCTGCCTCATTCTCCAGAGTAGCTGGGATTACAGGTACCTGCCACCACGCCCAGCTAATCTTTTTTTTTTGTATTTTTAGTAGAGATGGGAGTTTCAACAGTTAGCCAGGTTGGTCTTGAACTCCTGACCTCAAGTGATCCACCCTCCTTGGCCTTCCAGAGTACTGGGATTACAGGCATGAGCCACCACACCCAGCCCTGCAAGGTGGGTGTTACTATCCTCAGATGATAAAAAGAGGATCACAGGCCGGCGGCAGTGGCTCAAGCTTGTAATCCCAGCACTTTGGGAGGCCGAGGCGGGTGGATCACAAGGTCAAGAGATCGAGACCATCCTGGTCAACATGGTGAAACCCCGTCTCTACTAAAAATACAAAAAATTAGCTGGGCATGGTGGCGCGTGTCTGTAATCCCAGCTACTCAGGAGGCTGAGGCAGGAGAATTGCCTGAACCCAGGAGGCGGAGGTTGCGGTGAGCCGAGATCGCCCCATTGCACTCCAGCCTGGGTAACAAGAGCGAAACTCCGTCTCAAAAAAAAAAAAAAAGAGAGGATCACAGGAGTTGAATAATTTGCCACAAATCACTTAGTATGGAGTTGAGCTTGGACTCAAACTAGATTCACCTGAAGGAAAAAATCTGTATTATTTCCACTAGTTAACATTGTGTCTCATATGTTGAATTGAATGGGATGAGAAATAAATACCTTCTTTCCTAGAGTTAAGAAAGTGAAGTAGAAATGAACCCACACTGACCCCTTTCTGTTTCCAGAGTAGAGTTTTTATCAGACCTAGTAGGAGTTGTAGGAACTGAATTTTGAGCCACAGATCAGCCTCAGATGTAGTTGAATTCCTCACTACTCCTCTCAGGTGGCTTATGGCAAAATCTAGCGTCTCAGAGAAGTTGGAAACTTTAAGATGACTCACCAGCCCTTAAGATCCTAATTATCAATGAGTGTCTGGGCCTCACAAGGCCTTCAGTCCGCTCTGGAAGCTCGGCTCTGGAAGCTGCACTGAAGGAGAAGATCCTGAAACTGAAACAATTCCTGACTATTCTTCACAGGAAGAGTCAAGCCTGAGTGAGGGAGCATGATCCAGAAAGGAGTGAGAAGGAAATTACTTTGGGGCCGGATTTGGAGTTAGAACCCGGGAGACCAAGGCAATGGGTGAGAAGGGGAGTATGTAAATAGAAACGGAGATCAGGATGTAGAGGGCCTGGGTGAGTGGACAGACAGCATAGCAAGGTGGAGAAACTTGATTTTGCTGCTGCTGCTTAAGGACTTATTTATTTCCCTGATTGGTGTCCATTCTAGCTTCCCTAAGAGATCAGAATTTCTTCTTTGCAGGAAGGAGGGTGGATGGAGAGCAAAGTTGAATGCCATTGCCAGTCACCAAACATTCAGTAGACCCTTGCTTCCCCAGTATTAAGGATGGCAGATTTTTCTCCTGTAAAATGCATCCTTTCTCCTCTGCAGTTTGTGTTCACCTGGTCCTGCTCTGAATGAGAATCTCCTGACTGGGCCTAGTGCCCCACACCTGTGCCAGCACTTTGGGAGGCCGAAGCAGGCAAATCACCTGAAGTCAGGAGTTCGACACCAGCCTGACCAACATGGAGGAACCCCCATCTCTACTTAAAACACAAAATTAGCTCAGCGTCACTGCAGGCTCTTGTAATCCCAGCTACTCAGGAGGCTGAGGCAGAAGAATCACTTGAATCCAGGAGGTGGAGGTTGCAGTTAGCTGATACTGCGCCATTGCACTCCAGCCTGGGCAACAAGAACAAAACTGAGTCTCAAAAAAAAAAAAAAAAAAAAGATCGAGAGAGAGAACCTCTTGGTTCTTGAAAGGCCTGCTCTGTGATGGAGGAATTGCAATGCCCAGCAAGGTATGGGAGTTTTAGTTAAGTCCTCAGTGTCTGAGTCTCACCTCTCCCCAAACCAGATTAATACAATTGGCTTTCTGCTCAAGACAGGGCCAAAGTGGGACCAGCTGGGGACTGGGAACTATGCTGCACAGTGTGGCAGAGCTGTGGATGTGGAGTGGGGGTGGCCACGGACCATCCTGCACTGCTCTGAGCCAACAGGACCCTAATATTGTCTGTGTTCCTGGCAGCTGTGATGGTAGGACCTTGACTACTTTTTTTTTACCCCTCTCTTTCCAACTCTTAGTTTTAGGGGTAAATGTGCAGGTTTGTTACATAGGTAAATTGCATGTAAAACGGGTTTGGTATACAGATTATTTAGTCACACAGGTAATAACAATAACCATGGTACCCAATAGGTAGTTTTCAGTCTTTACCCTCCTCCAACTCTCTACCCTCTAGTAAGCCCCAGTGTCTGTTGTTCCCCTCTTTGTATCCATGTGTGTTTGTAAGCTCTGGATTATAAGTGAGAACACATGGTATTTGGGTTTCTGTTCCTGTGTTAATTTGCTTAAAACAATGGCCTCCAACTCCATCCATGTTGCTGCAAAGGACATAATTTAATTCTTTTTTATGGCTGTGTACTATCCTGTGGTGTATATGTACCACATTTTCTTTACTTCACCATTGATGGGCATCTAGATTGATTCCATGTCTTTGCTATGGTGAATAGCACTGCGATGAACATATGTGTGCATGTGTCTTTTTGGTAGAATGATTATTCCTTTGGCTATATGCCCAGTAATGGGATTGCTGGGTTGAATGGTAGCTCTAACTTCTTTGAGAAACCTCCAAACTGATTTCCACAATGGCTGAACTACTTTACATTCCCACCAGCAGTGTATAAGCATTCCCTTTTCTCTGCAACCCTGCCAGCATCTGTTATTTTTTGACATTCAGTAATAGCCATTCTGACTGGTGTGAGATGGTATCTTATTGGGGTTTTGATTTGCATTTCTTTAATGATTAGTGATGAGCATTTTTTCATGTGTTCTTGGCCATGTGTATGCCTGATTGCTCTTCTAATTCTGTTCTGCTCAGCTGTTCAAACACTTGAACACTGCCCCACTCCACGTTCAAGTGTTTAGCTCTGGCTTTCAGGAATCTCTGTTCCCACACCTCTGCTCCCTGAGCCCATACAGGGATTTCTGAAGGGGTGAGGTAAGGTGTCAGTGATAGGGTTTTTTTCTCTGGGATTATGTGGGGAGTTGCCAAGCTCCTATTAGAACCAGTGAAGCCCCCTTCCTCAGGGGTTTTCCCAAAAGAAGAGGCAGAGCTCATACTCAGAACCATTTGGACCATAAGGCCTTATAGAGGAACCCAGTGACTGCACGAAATGGAGAGACACAGAGCCTCAGGCTGGAAAGGGTAGAATACAGGGATGAGAGCTCATCAGTGTCTGTGACATCATAGACATGACCTTACAGTTCTGTCATGACCAGAATTGGAAGAAAGAAACAGGTGAAATGATGGTACAGCTGCCAGACTGAGACATCTCAGTTCCTTATTAAGCTTTGTCATTTCCTCCAATTCTCCCTTCAGAATGGCCCATTCCATGGTAGCTCTTAGAAGGGTTATATCTTGGTGTTTTGCGCAGAACTCTTTGGGTTTCTCCATTAACTTAGCTACTGTGCCCAGAGGCTCCAAAAGAAGAACACCAGCAGGGCCTTGAGCTGCATGACTTCCTCTGGGGTGATCTCGCCCTCAGGGCTGGGTGAGACCACCACAGCCACACTGTGAAAGTTTCAGAGTTTTCATTACTTACAGATCCTCAAGGTAGGCAGGGTGACCAAAGAGAGGCAGACAGCAGTCTTCAGTCCCAGGTCTTATGTAGTGAGAGCAACAGCACACTTGTGGGAGAGGACTTCCTCTGTTTAAGGGTTGTTTGGGGATAGGATGTCCTAATTTCATGGGGTTACTTTCCATTGAGTCCTTCAACCACTTCCAGCAGCAAAGGAAGTTGAGCAGTTTGGCATGAGGCTGGAGTTAAAACAGGGCTCTTGGAGGGACTTCTTGTCTATCTTGGTCAGCCCTGGCCAGGCAACAATCAACTGTGGTTTCTTCATTACTCCTCAGATACTTGGGACATTCATGGTGACCTATTGGGACCTAAGGAAGAGAACCTGATTTTAATTTAGACTAATAAGCAAGTTTTCTGAACAGGTTTATAGGGGCTAGTTCAGCCTGGACAGCGTGAGCCTGAATCAAAAGGTACTACTAATACCAGCGGGCTAGAAGATCCCATGTGGACGTGTCAGGTGGCTTGGCCATTGAGAAGGAATGACAGTAGAGCTGAAACGGTCCAGAGCCCAGGTATCCAACAAAGGCTAAGAATCAAGGTGAGTGGGCAAAGGGAAGGTGTGGACAAATGAGTGAAGCCCCACTGTGTGCTTGGCCAGCCCCAGAGAGCTCTCTGCTGGTGCTTGGGGATATGAATTCTACTTCTGATATGTCCTTTTATGTCCCCACCTCCTGTCCCTTGGTCTAAAGTCTTGACTTGTTAAAATCCAACTGGGGATTTCAACAGACACTACCTCAATGGTAAGTGGGGGAACTGGGTAACAAGTGAGATCTCTGATCTGATGGGTCACTTTTCTTTCCTTTTTTTTTTTTTTTTTTTCTTTTGAGACAGAGTCTCACTCTGTCCCCAGGCTGGAGTGCAGTGGTGCAATCTCAGCTCACTGCAAACTCTGCCTCCTGGGTTCAAGGGATTCTCCTCCCTCAGCCTCCTGAGTCGCTGGAATCACAGGCATGCACCACCATGCCTGCCTAATTTTTGTATTTTTAGTAGAGATGGGGTTTTACCATGTTGGCCAGGCTGTCTCGAACTCCTGACCTCAGGTGATCTGCCTGCCTTAGCCTCCCAAATTGCTGGGATTACAGGCTTGAACCACCATGCCCATACGTTTCTTTCTTTTTAAATGGGTCACTCTTTGCCTTTTCTACTTTTAGACTGTAAGAATTTCTTTTTATTTTATTTTATTTTTAGAAATGGGGTTTCACTATGTTGGCCAGGCTGATCTTGAACTCATGACCTCAGGTGATCCTCCCACCTCAGCCTCCCAAAGTTCTGGGATTGCAGGCATGAGCCACCACACTCGGCCCTAGACTGTAAGGATTTCTAAGTGAAAGTGAAATGAAAGTAATGAAAGGTTTTGGAATTGATTTGACTTATGTTCAAAATCCAGCTTCTCTCCCTTGTAGCAGTGACCAGGTCTTCCATATATCTCTGTGCCTGGCACATTATAAACATACCTGGGCAAAATAAATATCAGTTTCATCGTACTATATTTAATGAACAAATGAATTCACTGACCAACTAAAGAATATGGTGTTGGGAGAATTGCAGATGTAGCCATCAGTAATGCTTGTTTAAAGTTGTTTGGCGCTTATTTATCCTTCCTGGTAAAACTTAAGATGTATCCAGTAATAGCTGGCATACGTGAAGCATGTTTTGTGTGGTAGGTTATATGTAAATGGTTTGCACACATGAAAGCAGTTAATCCTTTAAAGCCCTCTGAGAGGTAGATATTGTTATCACTGACTGTAAAATGAAGAGGCTGGGCTCAGAAAGGTTAAGTCAGTCATCCAAGGACACACAGCAACAGATGATCACAAAATTAGAAATTAAACCTGGTTTGTCTCACTCCAAAGCCCTCACTATGGCACCATCCTAACACTTATTGGTCGCATCTGCAGAGCTGGAGGTTGATTGTCTGATACTGACCTTAGGCCCCAGTGTCCTCTCTCTCTAAGAAAGGGGTTGATGGCTCTCAAACAGGCATAACCACACAGAAGCACTTGGAAAACTGCCTTAGATTGACAAATCAGAACGTCTGGTGGTAGCATCTAGGAATCCTCGTTTAAAAAGAGAAATTACAGATGAGTGGAAAATGTCCAGCTCTTTTTACGTAGTCACTAACCTAGTAGAGCAGGTATGAAATGGGGCTACCAGGAAACCAAGACATTACTTATGAATCTCCATAAATCCTAAATCTATGAAAAACTCCAAACTTGCCCCTGGAATGCCCAACTGTAAGGGTAGTGGTTGAGCAGTTGCAGGAGCGCAGCTTCCTCCAGCCTCTAGCACAGGTCAACACGAAGTTCACAGCTTTCAGGCTGGCTACCATGGGCAATGGTAGGGCTACTCGCCAGAATCTCATGTTCTCTCTAAGTGAAGAACACTCAGGACTCTTGGTCTTTACCCAGAAACGAAGTTACAGTTGAGTCTTATTTCCAGGACTGCGAGGAGCTGAGGATTCCGCCTGTGATGAAGTAAGCTATGAAATGGGCACGCATGTGCCAGGATCCCAGAAGCTCTGGGCTGTTCCTAACTGAACTCACAAGAGGCAGCAGAGAGGTAGCAAGAGGAAAGGAGAGTGAGGTAAGGAATCTGGAGGCACCCAGCTCTTGTTTGGCTCCGACCACTCAACAGCTACCATCAGCTGAGGAGCCATGGTAGAATTGTGGACCATTGACAGCCCGTAGGCTCTACCCAACTTCTCTGGGTTGTAGTGAGACTATTGATCCAGTATACAGGGAGTGGTTAGGAATCTTTGGAGAAAAGGAATAGTGTCAATTGAAAACTTATATCAACTAGTTAAAATGTTTCAGTGAGGGAAGGAGGTATGGAAACTGTGGAAAGCCCAGTGTGTAATTTACCAGGGAATAACCTGCTTTTTTAATGGACGTCTGAAGGGCTGCACCAAACCTGGAGGGTAATATTAGACATAAGAGGGCCGGGCGTGGTGGCTCAAGCCTGTAATCCCAGCACTTTGGGAGGCTGAGGCGGGTGGATCACGAGGTCAAGAGATCGAGACCATCCTGGTCAACATGGTGAAACCCTGTCTCTACTAAAAATACAAAAAATTAGCTGGGCATGGTGGTGCGTGCCTGTAATCCCAGCTACTCAGGAGGCTGAGGCAGGAGAATTGCCTGAACCCAGGAGGCGGAGGTTGTGGTGAGCCGAGATCGCGCCATTGCACTCCAGCCTGGGTAACATGAGTGAAACTCCGTCTCAAAAAAAAAAAAAAAAAAGACATAAGAGGAAATCTGTAGACTTGGGGGTGTTGCCTTTTGTGCAGCCTACTTTAAATATATTCTCAAGTGGTTAGTATGGTATTGGGCTTGTTAAGCAATAGAAGGTCAAATGGTGAGGGCCTGTGATCAATGGACTGAGAGAAATAGCCTGAGCTGTCATGCTGAGTGTACCCTCCCAGTGGCAGGTATGCACTAGGGTGTTGAAGAAACAAAAGACCTTCCTTGCCATCCTTAAAAAACAGCAGTTTCATGAAAATGCCTAACCTGTTACTGATAATGCAAGGTGCTCAAAACAATAGCTGTGCAGGGTGAAGAGCTGGGTTATTTGCAGATCCAGAGCTGTGTCACGGCAAGGTCAAGTGTCTCCAGACAAACGTCACAAGGAGAGCCGCAGCCATGTGCCAAAGCCCTGTGCCCTCCATGAGGAAATGGACCAGATGACATTGAGGAGCCAACCTGCCTGGATTCCTAGTTCCCAAGACCCAGCCCAAAAGCTAAGTAGTAGTAACCATTCTCTCCTAGAACAGTTGCATAAAGGACTTGGGAAGAGGAGAGCCCTCTGCACCTTGGGAAATCCAGATTATAATTCTGTCTTTACTGTGGATTGAGCCCTAAGACTGCTGTGTGCCCATCCTTCCTCCCTCTAAAATGTGTTTCTGTTTCTGTAAGGGGGATGATAATCTGCTCTCTCTCTCAAACATAAAGTCACTGAGAGGGCTTGCTTTCCATCTGGGGTTGTATCTCTTCCTTCTTTCTGTGAATTACTTTTCCCTCCCTGACCTTCATTTATTTGAGCTTCACCCATTGTCCCAGATAATGATAGGAAAGCCCTAGAGTAGACATAGACGGGAACTCTCTCCCTCACTTCCATAACCTATCACCATCACATTATGTTGACTATGCCCCCAAAATGTACAAAACCCATCCACATTTTTCTGTATCCACTGTCATCACTAGACTAGACAACTGAGTTTCTAGACATCAGAGCTAAGAAAGTCTTAACTGGTCTCCTTGCTTGCACTTTTAGCTTTTCTGACCTGTTCTCCACACTGCAGCCAGAATAAGAGAATTGTGTCATTCCCTAATTATTCAGTGGCTTCCCATTATACTTGACATAAAATCCAAACTCTTAGCATCACATGTGATAATAAAGTCCAGTCAGGAAACCAGAAGCTATTCTTGGTATTTCCAAAAGGGGACTTAATAAAAAGAATTTGTAAAGAAGGTGTAGTAGAACTGGAAAAAAAAAAAAAGGGAAAACTACAGTGACAGGGATAGTAACTGTAGGAAACATGTGGAGTCAGGGGAGTATAGAGAAAGGGTTGGGTTTACCAGGGCTTGGAAGCTTGGAAGAGAGGCCCTGCAGAACTGGGACTTGGATTTGGCAAGGGTGCTGGGGGATGGGAGCTGGGCAGTGTTGCCTGATTGGTGCTGATACCTCTGAGGGGTCCAATTAGGCTGCTTCTGGAAGAAGCTTTGTTCACTGCTTTTTTTTTTTTTTTTTTTTCCCAAGACGGTTGAATCTTGCACGCTGGAGTACAATAGTGATCTTGGCTTACTGTAACCTCTGCCTTCTGGACTCAAGCCATCCTCCCACCTCAGCCTCTCAAATAGCTACAGGCATACACCACCATGCCAGGCTAATTTTTAATATTTTTTTGTAGAGATGGGGCTTTGCCATGTTGCCCAGGCTGGTCTCAAACTTCTGAGCTCAAATGATCCACCTGCCTCAGCCTCCCAAAGTGCTGGGATGACAGGTATGAGCCACTGCCCCCGGCGCTCTTCACTGCTTTATATTTGACTCCAATACCTGGTATATTATAGGCAATCAAATATTTCCGGAATAAATGAATGTGTTCTCCAACGCTTACCTGTCTACTTCAGGTCATCTGGAGTGGCTGACAGGCAAGGATTGGAGACTCTAGAGGTACTTGTTTTCCTTTTTCTGCCCAGCAGATGAGAGGACAAAGCAGCTTGGAGGGTGGAGGCAACCTAAACATTCAAGGAGTTGAACACTTGCATCCCCATTTCCCTGGCCACAGTAGGCCCAGGAGTGGCAGGAGCTTATTAGTGAGGTAACACAAAGTGTCTCTATTTCCTTATCTCTTCCGTTCACTTTCACTGGCCGTCCTCATTTATCCAACCACATTCCCTGAGCTTATGTCCAAAGTCCATTAGTAACGAGTCCACTCCTGGGCTATCTCCCCTTCCCCACCATGAATCACCAATGAAGTCATGGTGTCCCAAATAGGTCACATTCCAGCCCACCTCTTTGTCGTGGTCCTTTAAAGATGTTTTCTTCTGAGTTGAGCAGAGGCTATGAAGTATGTGACTCTAGGAGCTGTCCTGCAGAGCTTCTCCTTAGGGCCATGCTCAAGGACAGTGTATGCAGGGAAAAGCAGTGGCCTAGGCAGAGCTCAGTGAAGAAACACAAGTATATTCTCCTCTTCTGCCTTTGCTTTTCCTTCACCTCAAATTCTCATTTTTTCTGGCTTTGAAAGTAGTACATTCTCCTTTGCTTATATTTAACTTTTCCCACTTAGAAAAAAGTGAAACTTGCTGCCAGCACTCATTTAATTTCATATAAACATGCTCTTTGAGACTGAAGCAAATGTGACTGATTTTCATTGTGAAAATAAAATATAAAAACTGTAATCCCAGCACTTTGGGAGGCCGAGGCGGGTGGATCACGAGGTCAAGAGATCGAGACCATCTTGGTCAACATAGTGAAACCCCGTCTCTACTAAAAATACAAAAAATTAGCTGGGCATGGTGGTGCGTATCTGTAATCCCAGCTACTCAGGAGGCTGAGGCAGGAGAATTGCCTGAACCCAGGAGGCGGAGGTTGCGGTGAGCCGAGATCGCGCCATTGCACTCCAGCCTGGGTAACAAGAGCGAAACTCCGTCTCAAAAAAAAAAAAAAATAAAATAAAAACTGTTCTTGGAGTTATTTCTAAGCAGAACAAACAACAGAATCATCTGAATCAGCAGAATTGTCTAGTTCAGAAAAATCAGATTCATCAAATAGATCTTTGGCCAACAACTGTTAGAGAATGATGTTAACATCACATGTGAGATTGCTACGTTTTCTAGGATTTGACGTTTTCAGCGATCGAGAATTACTGTATTTTGTAAAAGGAACTACCACTACGAAATGCTATAAATAGAATGATGTCTTTTGTTTCCAAAGTTGATATGCTAGAGCCATGTGAAAGTAATAATAAAAGCCAGATGGCTGGGAGCAGTGGCTCACACCTGTAATCCCAGCCCTTTGGGAGGCTGAAGCAGGCGGGTCACTGGAGGCCAGTTCAAGACCATCTTGGTCAACATGGTGAAACCCAGTTAGGCTTGGTGATGCAGGCCTGTAGTCCCAGCTAGCTGGGAGGCTGAGGCACAACAATTGCTTGGGCCTGGGATCACACCATTGCACTCAGGTCTGGGCAAGGGTGAGAGACCCTGTCTCAAAAAAAATTAAAAGTTATTTTGTGGCAAAGTTATCTCAGGGTAAACACTGCTACAATTATAAGTGCTGCTGGCAAGTATTCTTGGGGCAAATGGTCAACTCTTCAAAAAGGCTCAAGAAGAGACCATGATGCCTGTTTTTCACCATACCTTAGACAATATCCTATTACCTTGTGTGCACCAGCCAAAAACCATAGACAATGTACCTATCTTCTAAATACTTTTATATCTTCAATGTACTTTTTATCCACGGCAATTTCATAAAAGTTTAAGTATCTGTGACTCATCATGGATGTTTTAAGTTTGGTTCCTAGCGCTTCTCATACCCATCCTTCCTTTCACGTACCATTCTCGTCTACTAACTCTTCAGAAGTCAGCCTCCAGATGTACCTGTTTTTCCCTTGCATCTATGATCTTCCTTCTCATGATGGCACAAACTTTTCCCAACCTGATTCATTTCCTGTTTTCCCCATTTCCTACCCCTTATTCCTTCTCTGCATGTCCTACTGCCCTGAAGCAGACTCTACAATTCTATCATTTTTAGGACCCTGCAGGCTTCTACATGAGTATAGTTTCTAAAGGAGAAAATTACAACTTACAACCAAAGACCAAGGAAGTGGAGGGAGAAACAACTTTATTTTCTTCAGAAACAGTAATGTTTATAAATTTGTTTATAGTAGTTTGTAAACTATTATCAGAAATAGTAATATCTATAAACCACTTACTTTTAAGAGTCAATTGGGAACTATGATGAGGGTGATAATAAAAGGAGAAATCTTACAAAAATTAACCTGGATGCTATGCTTGCTCTAAGATTAAGTCACTTAGGGAAACAAATTCAGATTATCCAATGGCTTAACCCTCCTTCTTTCCTTTTGTGATGGCTAGGTTATAAAAAGTAGTATCTTCTGCCCTGAAGGTAGCAGTAGTATGGTGGGTGCCTACAGGTCAATTATAGGTTAAGAAGAGATTCAGGCTCTTAACTTCTACATGTGCTTCCCAGGAGCAGGGACACTTTCTTTCTCAGCCCTGTGTGAGGACCACATTAGCTCAGAAAGTGTTCTCAGACCACTGGGTGCCCATTCTCAGTGTTAGGAACACGAAGATCCTGGTTTCCTGGCAGAATTTATGGATCCTACAACTTTCTCTCCATCAGACTTTAAGTCACAGTAAGACAGGACTTTGGAGTCACAGCCACAACCAGAAGAAGAGGTCAGCATCCTTATGCTGACTCCTGTTCCTGGACATGGATCTTAAGATCCAGTAGTTAGTAAGTCTGTTGCTAAGTCAGGGACTGGCTAGATCTCTCCACAGAAGAAAGCTCTAAGGAACACATACACACTGACCTAAGGAACTGATATGACAGGTTTCCTACACACTCATAACACATCTCTTCCTTCCTGTGATGAGAGTACTACTTTTGTGTGTACTGTCTGATGACGAATGAGGGCGGAGTTCTTAGTGAAGCTTTTCTCACAGTGAGAACACTAGTAAGGCGTTTCACCAGTGTGGATTTTCTGGTGGGCACTGAAGTGGGAGCTGTTGTTGAAGCTCTTCCCACACTCTGCACACTTGTATGGGCTCTCCCCAGTGTGGACACGCCGGTGAGCACTGAACTGGGAACTGTTGTTAAATCTTTTTCCACAGACAATGCACTGGTAAGGCTTCTCCCCTGTATGGGTCCTGTGGTGGACAATGAGGCTGGAACTCTGGTTGAAACTTTTCCCACACTGCCCACACTGGTAGGGCCTCTCCCCTGTGTGAATTCGTAGGTGGGCAGTGAGGTTGGAGCGCTCACTAAAGCCTTTCCCACACTCATTGCACTTGTGAGGCTTCTCGCCGGTGTGGATTCTCTGATGTCGAACAAGATAAGAACTTCGGCTAAAGGTTTTCCCACATTCAGGACACTGAGATACTTTTTCCAGTTCGAGCGCTGGCTTGTGGGGAGAGTGTACACTCTGAGAGCAGTTTTTCCCACACAGGATATGTGTACAGACTTTGTCCCTGGCACAAAAACTCTGGTGACTCATCGTTTCCTGGGATGGGGGTTTCTCCTCACTCTCCCCTGGTGAGTTTCTACATTGCCTTCTTGATGTAGGCTCACTCTCCATGTCTTTTTGTAGCCCAGAGTGCCAGAAAACTTCTCCTCTAGACTTTCTCTGTAAAGCCTTGTTCATTTCTACTTCCTCTGAATCATCCCATTTTAGATTTTCTTTTTTAATCTCATTCTTGATCTCAAAACCTGAAAGAAAAATCCAGAGAAATACAATAGACTATAGAGAAGGAAAACAATGTAATGCAAAGAGTTATAACTATACTATATAGAAGAAACATCTAATTGAAATTCTTCATAAGATTAAGTCTCCTGCTAATAGCTTTTTATTTTCTAATTGTAATATTTTTGAGCTCCAAATTATTACAGGAAAATTATGCCCTAAACTACAACTTTTCTCCAATTTTTTTTTGGGATGTTCCGACACAATGACAAACTGAGGCATGGCATCAAGCTCTGTGTCATCTGCCAGTCTGTTTATAGGTATACTCTCAATTCTTCAGTAATCTAACTTCTGCCAGCAGAATAACAAAAGGCAACCCTGGGTTTGGCCAGCTCAAACAGGAAGAAAACAAGGTGCTAAGTACCCATCCAGCACACGCTCAGCCTGTAAAAGGCATTGCCATGCTAGAGAAGGAGGGAGAAGATGGAACCTGGTCTGGAGGCCTAACCAGCAATGTGAGGATGCAAAGTACTGAAACTCAATGGGAAAAGATGACATGAACTTAGTGAAGAGTTGGAAAATGCAAAATCAGGGCTCTAAAATGCAAGGGGAATAATCTTTAAACTACATGAAAACTAAAACTCCTGGCTTAGATAGAGTCACACATCAAGATGATGATGATGCCAGGCTCAGTGACAGCTCCCACTTGACTGCTAGGCTAATGGCCTCTAAACTGGACTTTCTGATCTTTTGACCATCAGAGTTAAGGGAGTCTTACCAAGTCTGTTTGGGAACAGCACTGGCAGGTCAAGTTTCCTGACTTCCTGGCCAGGATTGCTGAAGTCCTTTTCATCCCTGTCTGCACCATCCACAGTGCCATCTTCTACCTCTGTGCGCTCCCCATTCTGGTGACTCAGCTCTCCAGCCTCGATATCACTTCCTTTTTGGTCAGGAACAGCATCGCTTGCCATAGGAGGCACAGAGGCCCAGGAGTTTGAAAAAGCATCCATTTCCTCATAAAAGATACAAGGCTCAGGCACATAGCCTCTCCTCACTTTGCAGTAACTCAACTGTAGGCTTTTGAACTTGGTTCGACACTGTTCTGGGGTCCGCAGAAAGCCCTGCTCCCAGAGTCGTTCCGCCATGGCCCTGTAGATCTGGCTGTTCTGCTGACAGGTCTGGAGTTTTCCATAAAACTGAGAACTACTAAGAATAGCCAGGAGTGTCCTGGTCTCTTCATAGCCCCAGGGCACACCTGTTGCTGGGAGACAAAGAATATGTCAATCAGATCTGTCAATTAGATCAGGGAGGATGTACATACTGCAGTGTGGAGTTTTAGCAGCTTCAAAAGTTACATCCTGGTTTCTCAAACTATGCCACAACTGGCTACTGTTATTTCTAGGAAGAAATCTCATGGTGGCCTTTTTTCTAAGAAAACTTTAAGTATAATACAAAAGGCATTCCCTCCACTGAGAAGGACTTGTAGGGTTATTTACTAAAGGTGCCTTTTTAATTTCTCTTTAATTATCCTCAGTCCTACTCATTTCCCCAGGAGAGATGGCTGGCAATAAGTGTAGTGGCTTGCCTGCCTTGACAGTTGTGGGACTTCCTGAGGGTGGCCACATAAGAGGACACAGTGAACAGGTGACGCTCAGAGGAAAGCAAAGATTCAGAGGAGAGAGGAACTGGTTTTAAGGATAGATATACCTGTTCCCTCCCCGATACAGGAATACCTCCTCATCTGGCCCATCTCTGTCTGCTTGTATCTCCTGTCAGCCTTGTAGATACAAGGAACTAAATGACAGCAGTTAACAAACCAAGGTAAGAGTAAGTAGTAAACATCTGAGAAGAGCAGTTCAGCATGACTGGCTACTCAAGAACTCTCACCACACACTCCTGCTGCCCATCTGGGCCAGTTCGTGAGGACTGATTTCACTAGAGCTGTCCCAACAAGTGCATTCCAACAACATCCGGTAGTGATTCCAACAACATCTGGTAGTGATGCTGTGAAGGGCACCAGCCTCTTCTTGCCACCCGCCTACTCCACACTGAGCTGCCATCACCTTATGCCCAGATCACTGCCATAGCCTATCTGGTGTTCTTGCTTCCACTCTTTTTTTTTTTTTTTTTTGAGACAGAGTTTCGCTCTTGTTACCCAGGCTGGAGTGCAATGGCGCGATCTCGGCTCACCGCTACCTCCGCCTCCTGGGTTCAGGCAATTCTCCTGCCTCAGCCTCCTGAGTAGCTGGGACTACAGGCACGCGCCACCATGCCCAGCTAATTTTTTGTAGTTTTAGTAGAGACGGGGTTTCACCATGTTGACCAGGATGGTCTCGATCTCTTGACCTCGTGATCCACCCGCCTCGGCCTCCCAAAGTGCTGGGATTACAGGCTTGAGCCACCGCGCCCGGCCTCTTGCTTCCACTCTGGACCTCCTACAGTCTACTTTCAACCCAGCAGCCAGAGGGAGTCCCCTCCTTTGTTATTCAATTCAACTACCCCTCACTGAGTGCCTACAATGCCAATTTCTGAGAAATGTAAATATAAATATGACATGAACCCTGCCTTCAAGGAGGTCACAGTCCTGTAGAAATCTCTACACCAAAAAGAGACACAAATAAATGTTTACATAAAGTACCAAATAAAGTCAAATACTCAAAGTGGTCTTTTAAAAAATATTACTCCACCTTGCTCCAGCCAGAGCCATTTTGTCTGTCTTACGCCCTTCCTCCATGTATGATATGGCTGCAAGGCTCATCTCTCCTCCTTCTGCAAGTCTTTTCAAATGTCATTTTCTCATTGAGGGCGACCCTGAGGACCCAAACTGAAAACTGCAAACCAACCTCTGCTCCTTCTCTCCCATCGTGCTTACCGCCCTCTAACATCTTCTGCCGCTTACTGATTATGCTATGGTCTATCTCTTCCCACAGGGCAGGAATCTTTATCTGTTTCTTCACTGTTGTATCCCTAATGACCTAGAACTAGGTCTGAGATACCGTAGGCACTAAATAAATATTTGTAGGAAGAATGATTTGTCCTCCCCCATTCTCTGTCTCAGTTCTTATCTCTAATCTTTCAGGATCCTGATCTTGAAGGACAGCTTCACTGGATATAGAAAAAAAGAAAAAAAAAGGATCCTGAATGATTGACAAGAAACCCAAAGTGTGTAAGGAATACAAGCCCTCATTCAATAAGCCTAATGTTGTAGAAATTAAAGTTACAGGTATCTGTTCTGAATTATTCAGAACAGATCAACCCATAGAGACAGAATGAAGACTGGTGTCTCCCAGGGGTTTGCAGGCGGAGTATGGGGAGAAACTGCTGGATGGTTGTAGGATCTTATTTTGGAGTGATGGAAAGGTTCTGGAACTGGACAGAGGTGGTAATTATACAACACTCTGAATGTACTGGATGCCAAAGAATTGTTCACTTTACAGTGGTTAATTTTATGACATGTGAATTTCACCTCAATAAGTTAAAAATCCCAAGTTCAAAAATAAAAGAGCCTTCATATCTCACCTTATTATATTATCCATATATATTTAGTAATACAAATCTCAATACAAAGCTCAAAAAGACACTATACTCTCCTGCAACTGGACAAGATAAGGTGCAGGAGAAGCCTGAAGAAGCAGCAAAAAACGGCACATGCTGAAGCCAGGAAACCAGGAGTTCCTGGCAAAGGAGGGGAGGGATGGCAGGGGACAGAGCAGGGAAAAACCACAGATCACAGGGAAGGGCCACACTGTAGAGTGAGGCAGGGGCAGTGTCACAGGGCCTGTGTTCAGAGCCTTGTGTAGTCCCTCCCACCCTGGGCTTGGCCATGTGACTGACTTTGGCCAGTGGGACACTGGCAAACAGTGCCAGCAAAGGCTCAGTAAGCACTTGCACACAGAGGCTGCTCCTCCTGGAACTCGGGAAAGTACAATGAGCCTGCACCCGCCGGAGACCCAGCTGAGCTCCTAGCTGGTGGCCGCCATCAACTGCCAGCCAGGTGACTGAGGCCATGCTGGATCTTCCAACCTCAACACCTCAGCCAACATCTTGAAGCAGAAGAACCACTCAGTCAACCCACAGAATGGTGAGAAATAATGGTTTTTACCACCAAGTTTTAGGGTGGTTTGTGTTGTGGCAGTAAGCACAGTACTGGTTACTGATGTGGCAGTCATTTGCATGCGTTCTAAGGAATATACCCACCCTGTGGCTGCAGTGGAACCTGATTCCTAGACTATTGGTAACCTTTTAAATTCACAGTCACCGGTCCAGGGCATCACCCAACACTGCTTATCCAGGGTAACAGCATCTTCATTCTTTATGTTCTATTAACAAAATCTGGATTTAGCACCTACTCAGATAATTCACTACTTTGGAAACAGAAACACACCTGGCTTTGGCTTTCAGATTTCACACTGAAAAGATAATGCCCTGGGTGACCCAGACAACCTAAGAGTAGATATTACTTTCCCTATATGTCACCTGCACATGGTAAAATGAACTGCTTTTACCCCAACAATGCCCCCAGTGTGGAGGTGTGGTTTACATAAAGGCAATCAGTACCAGGACACAGGGACAAAGAGGTCCTGACCCAAGAGGCTCTGGAGCATGCATGGGGTGATGGTAAGGGCTCCCAGCTGCCTGGCCTGTCTGCTTGTCATCAGTTTGGAAGCTATCTATGTCCTCTCTTGTGCCCAGATCCTCCTGACCTCAGGTGATCCACCCACCTCAGCCTCCCAAAGTTTTGGGATTACAGACATTAGCCACTGCATGCAGCCTGCCCCTTTCTTTTGATCTCTGCCTGTCTCTCTCTTGCCTGCTGTGGTTCCCCATTTACTTCCTCCTTTCCTTCCACCCAACAGTCTCCCCACTCCCTCTGTCTTCCTCACTCCCAAGTCCTTTCAGCCTCCCTGAACAACTGAACACATCCACTTGGACCTGGACGGAAGATGAATCCTTACCCAGCGAGACATGTCTGTCCTCCTGTGTGGCATCCCTGTAGAGGGCCCTTCGTGCAGGGCCTGGGCACATCCATTCTTGCTGACAGAGGGATACAGCTCTGTCATCACATGTGGCTGGTCCCTGTAACAACACTGGAGCTGCTGCTACCGATAAAATAGCACCAGTCTAGCCTGGGGTGGGGGCAGAGACAGGATCACAGTTGTCAGATCAGGGGCAAAGCAAAGGCAGGGGAGGTCCCCCCTGTGGGACCAGTGTAGAGCCATGTGATAATGTCAGAGTGGACAGAATCAAAACAACCCAAGAAGCCCCAGGGACCACAAAGAATCTTTCTCATGTCTCTGGAGAAGAAGGGGGTTTTGGGGTGAAAGTGGGTACTTAGGAAACAGAAGGCATCAACCACAGCTCACCTGGAACCCAGCTGTCAAGACCACAGCACCTGTCTCCTGGTCGTGGAGACCTGTGTTTTGGGGCAGGTTCCCGGGAGCCTGAGGAGCAGGCCAGGCTGGGGAAAAAACAGCCGCTATTAGAGGGCAGCTTCCACACAACAGCACAGAGCAAAAGCTCTCAAAGTGGGCTCCTGGGCCAGCCCCTTCAGCAGCCCCTGGCAACCCATCGGAAATACAAATTCTGCGGCCTCACCTCAGATCCTCTGAATCAGAAATTCTGGAGGTGGGGCCTGGGACTATTTTATCACACCCCTACCTCCAGATGAGACTGAGACAAACTCAAGTTTGATAACCACTGTCAGAGCCCACGGCTTCTGTGAGTTGAGAAGCTCCTTTCGTGAGATTCCTCTTGGCATAAGAGCGTTAATTTTTTTTTCATTTTAAGGAAAAATATTTATGTCAGGGGAAAAAAATTAAAGAGAATCATAGTAGGAAACAAAAATCTCTCCATAGCCCTGCCACCCAAAGATAACCACAGTACTCTTTCATAATACCACAGTAACAGAAACCTTTTATATTTTTCAGGCAAAGATAATACATTTTTTCTCAAATCTCCAACTTAAAGAATTGTACAGATATGACTGACATCACTTAAAAAATAGGAAAAAAAATTTTAAACAATTGTACAAATAAAATGAATCATTTATGACTTGTTAATGGAACTTCAGCGGCAACTCAGAGGTATGTAAACCCTGGGGAGGGGACAACACTCCAGATCTGTGAGTGGCCCATGCGCCTGGGAAGCAGAGGGAGCCCAGCCTGGAACACAGTGAGTCCTGCTTCTCTTTATTCACAGCCCCTGCTGTCCCAAAGCCTTGGAAATCACGCACCAGAGAGCACAGGTATTCCCAAAGATTAAAAGGAAATAAATGCTAAGTGGCAAAGTTTATTAAGATGTTGACAAGAGTATTTACTTTGCTTTAAAAAATACTAAAATTGGCCAGATGTGGGGGCTCACACCTGTAATCCCAGCACTTTGGGAGGCCAAGGCCAGCAGATCACTTGAGGTCAGGAGTTCAAGACCAGCCTGCCCAACATGGCGAAACCCCGTCTCTACTAAAAATACAAAAAATTAGCTGGGTGTGACGGTGGGCACCTGTAATCCCAGCTACTCAGGAGGCTGAGGCAGTAGAATCGCCTGAACCCAGGAGGCAGAGGTTGTAGTGAGCCAAAATCACACCACTGCACTCCAGCCTGGACAACAAGAGCAAAACTCCATCTCAAAAACAAAACAAAACAAAACAAAACTGTCTCTTAGACAGTTTTCCACTTTATCAACACAGGTTTGCCAACTTAAACTCATCAAGACACAGTGTTTTTCAGGCTGGGTGTGGTGGTGCATGGCTATAATTCCAGCACTTTGGGAAGCTGAGGCAGGAGGATTGCTTGAACCCAGCAGTTCGAGGCTGCAGTGAACTATGATGGTACCACTGCACTCCAGCCCAGGCGACAGAGCAAGACCCTGTCTCTTAAAAAAAAAATCACCTAACAACCTGTTATGGCAACTTTCAACTAAACGAAAGGTAGCAAGTATATAGCCAATGGAAAAAGACTTTAAAAATATAGAACCTTGGTATATCCATGCAACGGAACATTATTCAGCCATCAAAAGGAACAAAGTACTCATACATGCTCAAAACATGAAAAGTGAAAGAAGGCAGACACCAAAGGTCACATCATGCATGTGACTCCACTTATATGAAATGTCCAGAACAGGTAAATCCATGCAGACAGAATGAAGAGCAACTGCTTAATGGGTACAGAGTTTCCTTTTCGGGATGATAAAAATGTTTTGGAACTAGATAGAGGTGATGGCTGCATAACACTGTGGATGTACCAACCATCACTGAATTGTTCACTTGGAAATGGTTAATTTTATGTTATGTGACCTTCACCTCAATTAAAACGTTTTTTTTTTTTTAATTTTTTGGGAGAGACAGGATCTTGTTATGATGCCTAGGCTGGTCTCAAACTCCTAGGCTCAAGTGATCCTTCTGCTTCAGCCTCCCAAAGTGCTGAAGTTACAGGCATGAGCCATCACACCCAGCCAAGATTTTTTTAATTAAAAAAGTTTTCTAAAACAATTAAGACAAGTAAAAACAAAAATTGAGCTCTGGAAGAAAGGCCAAAAAAATAATGTATTCTGGAAAAGATTAAGCTGGATCGGGAAGGGGACTTAATGTCTTCTAGTATATGAAGAACTGCTGTGCAGAAAGTGAGGGTGGGTGACCATGTTCACCTTTAATGACACCTGATTATTAAGTAACAGAATTGTAATAAAAAAGAATTATACTACCACATAAAGAATCTCTGTCCCTACTTTTTTTTTTTTTTTTTTTTGATGATAGAGTCTCACTCTGTTACCCAGGCTGGAGTGCAGTGGTCCAATCTCGGTTCATTGCAACCTCTGCCCCCCACCCCACCAGGTTCAAGTGAGTCTCCTGCCTCAGCCTCCCGAGTAGCTGGCATTACAGGTGCCCGCCACCACACTTGGCTAATTTTTTGTATTTTAGTAGAGACGAGGTTTCTCTGTGTCACCCACGCTGGTCTCAGACTCCTGATTTTGTGGTCTTCCCTGCCCGCCTCAGCCTCCCAAAGTTCTGGGATTACAGATGTGAGCCACCACACCTGGCCTCTCTGTCCCTACTTTAAGTGCCATTACGCTCAACAGAAATTTGTAATCTTGCTTTTGGATATATTTTTTATTTTTTTGAAACGGAGTCTCACTCTGTGGCCCAGGGTGGAGTGCAGTGGCACGATCTTAGCTCACTGCAACCTCCACCTCCTGGGTTCAAGCAATTCTCCTGCCTCAGCTTCCTGAGTAGCTGGGATTTCAGGTGCCCGCCACGCCTGGCTAATTTTTTGTATTTTCAGTAGAAACGGGGTTTCACAATGTTGGCCAGGCTGGTCTCGAACTCCTGACGTCAGATGATCTGCCTGTCTGATCTCCCAAGGTGGTGGGGCTACAGGCATGAGCCACCGTGCCTGGCCACTTTTGGGATAGATTTCAAAGGCATTTTGTCTGGAACCCTTGGGTGGACCAGACCTTTGTTTCCAATAAATGATTGTTCTTCACCTGTCTCAGGTGAGAACAGAGGCTTCTGCTTACCTTCTGACTGTTCCCCTGGTCTTTGGTGTGAGCTCTGTGATCCCTTCAAAGTTGGCTCCTCTGGCTGAACCTCCTGTTTCCAGTGGTATCTCAGTGATTCTCTGGTTGCTCCCAAAGGGGCCATCTCCTCCATGAGTCCTTTCAAGTCCTTCTCAGAATCTGGGACCTGAGAACAGACCCCATTATCCGTCACTACAAATTCCTGCCTAAGCTGCACTTTACAACTCCTAAGAGTGGCATTAAAAAATAATGTTTAACATAAGGAAGCAGAAGAGAAGCAGCTAGAAGCCACTGTATTGCTGCTGTAATAAAATAAAAAATAATAGAATTAGGTCTTTGAGGGTGCAGTCGCTCATGCCTGTAATCTCAGCACTTTGGGAGCCCAAAGTGGCCTGATCACATGAGGTCAGGAGTTCAAGACCAGTCTGGTAACATGGTAAAACCCCATCTCTACTAAAAATACAAACATGAGGCCGGGTGCCGTGGCTCATGCCTGTAATCCTAGCACTTTGGGAGGTCAAGAGATCGAGGCCATCCTAGCCATGGTGAAACCCTGTTTACTAAAATACAAAAAATTAGCCGGGCATGGTGGCATGCACCTATAGTGCCAGCTACTCAGGAGGCTGAGGCAGGGAATCACTTGAACCTGGGAGACGGAGGTTGCAGTGAGCCAAGATCACACCACTACACTCCAGCCTGGTGACAAAGCAAGACTCGATCTCAAAAAGAAAAAAATAAAATAGGCTGGGCACAGTGGTTCACACCTGTAATCCTAGCACTTTGGGAGGCCGAGGTGGGTGGACCACGAGGTCAGAAGATTGAGACCATCCTGGCTAACATGGTGAAACCCCTCTCTACCAAAAAAAAAAAACAAAAAAAAAAACAAAAAAAATTAGCTAGGCATGGTGGCACGCGGCTGTAGTCCCAGCTACTTGGGAGAATGAGGCAGGAGAATCGCTTGAACCCGGGAGGCGGAGGTTGCAGTGATTCGAGATTGAGCCACTGCACTCCAGCGTGGGCAATACAGCAAAACTCTGCCTTAAAAAAAAAAAAAAGAATTAGGTCTTTAGAAGTGGTTAAGATTATTTATATGAAAGCACCTAGCATAGAGCCTGACATACCAGAACTGTTAAAAATTGGGAGCTGGGCGCGGTGGCTCACGCCTGTAATCCTAGAATTTTGGGAGGCTGAGGTGGGTGGATCACCTGAGGTCAGGGGTTCAAGACCAGCCTGTCCATCATGGTGAAACCCCATCTTTAAAAAAAAAAAAAAAATCGGAATATATTTGTTAGAAGAAAAAATGTCAGCTTTCATTTCAGCAAGCCCCCATGACTCAGCACTAGGCCATTTCCTGTCCCCCCATATCCAATACCAGTCTGCCTTCAAAAGAGACCTTGAGGCTGGGCACAGTGGCTCATACCTGTAATCCCAGCACTTTGGGAGGCCAAGGCAGGTAGATCACAAGCTTAGGAGTCCGAGACCAACCTGGCCAATATGGTGAAACCCTGTCTCTACTAAAAATACAAAGATTAGTCGATGTGGTGGTGGGTGCCTGTAGTCCCAGCTACTCAGGAGGCTGAAACAGGAGAATTGTTTGAACCTGGGAGATGGAGGTTGCAGTGAGGTGGGCACTCCAGCCTGGGCAACAGAACACTCCAGCCTGAGCAACAGAGTGAGACTCCATATCAAAAAAAAAAAAAAAAAAAGACCTCGAATTGGTCCTCTCTCTCCATCCCCTGGCTCCATCTGAGTCCAGGACACTATCTGCTGTTGCATCCTCTCTACTGCTGGACCCTTCAATCCATTCTCTCTACATGGAATCCAATGTGATCTCTTTAAAATCTAAGGTCCTGTCCCCGTAGTAACGCTCTTCAGTGGCTTCCCACTACACACAAAATAAAATCCAAACTTCTCTTTGCAGCCTAAAAGGCCCAGCATGACTCTGCCCTGCCTCCACCCTCCCTCTCATATCGCTCTTCTCAGATCTCTGAGCTCCAGCCACAAGCTCTCTCTTCTTCCTCTAGAACCTGACAAGTCCTCTCCCACCTTAGGCTCCTGGTATGTGCTGTGCCCTCTGTCCAAAGTCCTCTCCTCCCAGCTCCTGAGACAACTGGTTCCTTCTTCTCCTTCAATGTCATCTGAGAGAGGCCCTGTCTCACAACCTATCTCCCAACACTGCTGTTATCACATCAGTCTACTCATTTCCTTCCAAGCACTCATCTGAAACCATCTTTATGGTTTACTTTTGATTTACAATTCTGTTTCCCCCCATGGACTGCAAGCTCCAGCAGGCCAGGGGCTATACCTCTCCTGTTCACTGTAAAATCCCCAATATCATAGTCACTTAAAATCAACTTTTGTCTTTCAGAGCCATGTTTATTCTTTAAGTCCCATGCTTATAACAACATCCTTAAAATGAGGAGAGATACTGAGAGGTAAGTGGGATCCTGAGAAATTATATCAACCTCTATTACTACTTCCCACCTTCACTTCTTGCTCTCTGCTTTCATGATAGGTGATATGGTTTGGCTGTGTCCCCACCCAAATCTCATCTTCATTTGTAGTTCCTATAACCCCCATGTGTCGTGGGAGGGAACCGGTGGAAGGTAATTGAATCATGGGGGCAGTTTCTCCCATACTACTCTAGTGATAGTACATTCTCATGAGATCTGATGGTTTTATAAAGGTCTTTCCCCTTCGCTCAGTTCTCATTCTTCTTCTTCCTGCTGCCATGTGAAGGATGTGTTTGCTTCCCTTCTGACATGATTGTAAGTTTCCTGAGGCCTCTCCAGCCATGGGTAACTGTGAGTCAAGTAAAACTCTTTTCTTTATAAATTAGCCAGTCTCAGGTATGTCCTTATAGTAGCATGAGAACAGACTAATACAATAGGTTTCAAACAGGTGTTTAACCAATACATTCCTGCACTGTTTTCTTTTATATTAAGAGTGTGGGCTGGGCACAGTGGCTCAACACTTATATTCCCAACACTTTGGGAGGCTGAGGTGGGTGGACTGCCTGAGCTCAGGAGGTCAAGACCAGCCTTAGCAACATGGCAAAACCTCATCTCTAATAAAAAAACAAAAATTAGCTTGGCATGGTAGTGTGCACTTATAGTCCCAGCTACCTGGGGTCTGCGGCAAGAGGATCACTTGAGCCCAGGAGGTTGAGGCTGCAGTGAGCCACGTTCGTGCCACTGCACTTCAGCCTAAGTGACAGAGCAAAACCGTATCCAAAAAAAAAAAAGAAAAAAAAAAAAAAAAAAAAAGTGTGGTTCTGAGATGGTTAAGGATAAGAAGGAGAGAGAACATCAAACAGAGAGATGGAAGGGGAACTGGGCTAAGATGATGATTAGCATATTGGGATTCCCACTCTATTTATAATAGTTCAGTTCTCCCAGCTCTACCTTCATACAAGTGCTACTGCACCCCTCCCCTCAATCTTACTTATAAGAGTTCCAATCCCACAGATTGCAGATTAATTTCCTCAACTTCTTCCCTGATACATCACCACCAAGATGCTTTTTCCCTCTATAAATTAAGTCAAAGTATTAAATCCTCAATCCTACCAAATTTCATTATATCCCCCTTCGCTGTTCCTCTTCCCACTGACAGTGCACATCCCTACCTCCTCACTGAGAAACACAAGCATGTCTGCTGCCTAGGTCCTTCCCATTCCAGCCATGCAGACTCTGGCACCCAGTGAGCTGCTTCCTGCTCTGACTGCAGACCCACTCAGGCCAAATAACATTCCTCTGACCTGTGCCCTCCATTACTCTAGGCCTCTCCCAGACTTACCCAATTTCAGTTGCCTTCCTCCTACCAACTCTTCCATAACTGAAGCTGGCATGCTGCTTTTCCTCTTCCTGTGCCTTTCCCACCTCCCTTCTCCCAGAAGATATAAGCTGGTTACACTGATCAGATCTCAGACCTAGTCCTGACCATAAGAGGATATTTTATGAACCCACCAGTGTCCCAAAATGAACACAATCCTGGCAGCAAGAACCAGGGCAAGGCCTCGCTCTGATATACTTTTGTTGAGCGTACAACACATGGCACTCTACCCTCAAAGAAGCTTCAAGCAAGAAACTAGATTTTCAGTCACCAGTATCTCTAGTTTTCCTCATCCCCTGAGTGAAAGATAGTTGTCCTTTCACTGGTCTTGTTTTTGAGAATTTTTCTGAGTGTTTTTACCACTTTAATTAGGGACTTCAAATATTATTAAATATATGAATGTCTAACAGCTGTATCCACAGATAAGAAATTCTTCCTGTACAATAAGGGCACAGGACCAACCCAAGACAGCCAAAACCTCCTGTGGCCAGCAGAGGGCTACTGTGGGTTTCTCAACCAAGCACCTCTCCAGCAACTGGATTCCCCAACTTCTTCATAACCAAAACCACAAAGTTCCAACTTCCTTTTCTCACCTGCTGTCCAGGAGCTCTCTGTACATCCTCAACCAGAGCCACAGCTTCATCGCCGTTTTCTGGATGCTGCTCCCTCACCCAGGTCTGGATCTCCTCTGGCAAGATAGTCAGAAACTGCTCCAAAACCAGCAGCTCCAGGATTTCCTCTTTTGAGTGTGTCTTAGGCCTCAGCCACTGACAACAGAGTTCCCAGAGTTTGCTAAAAGCTTCATGGGGGCCAGTTACCTCCTGGTAGCAAAACTGCCTGAAGCGCTGACGGGAGGCCTCGGAGTCAGGGCTGTTACCTTGGGGGGCTGATTTCTGGCCCTGTGTGGGATCTCTGCTTGAGGATGAGTGTGCCTGAAGACTATTTTCTGCAGCCATCATTTGCTTCAACAAACTGGCTTACTCTGTTGCCACTGTACCCTGGAGATCAGATTACATCTCTTCTCACATCACTGGGAGGCCATGTTCTCCTGCAAGGAGTGTCTTTCTGGAATCCATGCGACATGAGAGTATCAGACATGTGCAGAGACTCACAGCTGAAAAAAAGGGCTCAACCTTGAAGGATGTCTGAAGAGGATGGAAAAAGACAATATAAACCTATCACACATTCCTTCACTCTGGTTCTTGTGATTTACTTTCTATCCCTTTCCTTTACTCTGTCCACAAATCCACGCCGAGGATCCGAAACACTAGAAATACTGAAACTGCCTTTGCAAAAACCGTTAACAGTGAGAAGCTTATGACACTAAAAGAGGTATGATCTTACCAACTCCATGTTGCATTTAACCTCCCATCTGCCCTTGGTCATTCCTGGGTGTTGGCCAAGCTGGCTTTGGGAAAAATTAGTTTATAGTTTGAATAATAACCTTTCCTCAAATTTAACTGCCTTTGTAAAACTAATTAAAGACTACCAGGTTAGAAGGATGAGAGAGGCCTGAATTCTGCTAAGATGTAGGCATAATTAAATGATTATCCAGAGGTCACAAGAGTTGCAACTTCTGCAATTAAATAACATCACTATTGTAGAACCTAAGATTGGCCTTTTGAGATATCTTTTCAGGTTTTTGATTTCTGACACCAGGTGGCCCCACCCAAACCAGGGATTCCTCTGTGGCTCCCACCTAAAAGCACACTCAAGGGCTGTTTTCCACAGCCCTATGAATGCATTCCCAATCAGTCAGCATTCCCCCTTCCCTACCCACCTGCCTGCCAGAGCCCTAGACTCTGAATTTCCAGGGAAGCTGACTTGAATGAAAAAACTTCAGTCTCTCATTTAGGTGGTTCTATATGTATTAAACTCTTCCTCTATTGCAATTCCCCTGTCTTGATAAACTGGGTTTATCTAGGTAGTGGGCAAGATGAACCCAATGGGCAGTTACAATACCAAAAAATATAGTCTTCTCCCCAGCCAAGATTGTGTGTCTGCTACAGAGTTACTCAAACTTCCTGACAATGTAGTTCACCTGTTCCTTCCCTTCTTCCTTCACATACTTAGGTCTTTTTCTTGTCTTCCCTATCCTCAAGAAGGCTGGACTCATGTTCTCCATTGCCACCCTCTCCTCCGGGGAGAACTAGTGTGTGTGTTTCTTGATTAACTTCTTCATCACTTTTACTCTACAGACACACAACATGGATAAGCGACTGTTGAGGTTTGCTGTATTTTTTTATTTTCCAGCATTCCTTCCCCACTTCTGACAGCAGCATTTTCTTCCTTTGTGAAAAAGTTCCTCTCAGTGGTTCTGGTGGGGGTATTAATTACAATACCCGCCTCTGCAGAAGTGGCCATATGACACACGGCTGGGCCTATCAAAATTCTTTTCTCTGGCCAGGCACGGTGGCTCAGGCACTCCCAAAGTGCCTGTAATTCCAGCACTTTGGGAGACCGAGGCAGGCAGATCACAAGGTCAAAAGATCGAGACCATCCTGGCCAACATGGCGAAACCCCGTCTCTACTAAAAATACAAAAATTAGCTGGGTGTGGTGGCATGCACCTGTAGTCCCAGCTACTCAGGTGGCTGAGGCAGGAGAATCACTTGAACCTGGGAGGCAGAGGTTGCAGTGAGCAGAGATAGAGCCACTGCACTCCGCCGCAAAAAAAAAAAAAAAAAAAAAAAAGGCCGGGCGCGGTGGCTCAAGCCTGTAATCCCAGCACTTTGGGAGGCCGAGGCGGGTGGATCACGAGGTCAAGAGATCGAGACCATCCTGGTCAACATGGTGAAACCCCGTCTCTACCAAAAATACAAAAAATTAGCTGGGCATGGTGGTGCGTGCCTGTAATCCCAGCTACTCAGGAGGCTGAGGCAGGAGAATTGCCTGAACCCAGGAGGCGGAGGTTGCAGTGAGCCGAGATCGCGCCATTGCATTCCAGCCTGGGTAACCTGAGTGAAACTCTGTCTCAAAAGAAAAAAAAAAAAATTCTTTTCTCAGATTTTACATACAAGAAGTAGGGAAAGTTGGGCAAATGTTAAGACCAGAGAGTTGTCTGCAACTATGTCCCACTCTCTACTCCACTCCTCCACCACAGGAGTGAGCCTGTTTACATGAGGACAATATACTCGAGTCTTGACAACATGTTTGGATCTCCAAGGCCAGTTTATGTAAGGCAATATTTTTTTAAAGAGTTAATTTAAAAAATAGTTTTATATAATTTAAAACTAAACAATAATTAAATCACTTTAAAAAATAACTTTATATGTGTTTTCCTTTTTTTATTTTTAGAGATGGAGTCTGACTCTGTTGCCCAGGCTGGTCTCAAACTCCTGAACTCAAGTGATCCACCCACCTCAACCTCCCAAAGTGTTAGGATTACAGGCATGAGCCACCATGCCCAGCCTTAAAAATAATTTTAAATAGAGGCTAACTTTTGTACTTTTTGTAGGGATGGGATTTTACTATGTTGCCCAGGCTGGTCTCGAACTCCTATGCTCAAGTGATCCTCCCACCTTGGCCTCCCACAAGTGCTGGGATTACAGTGGCACCCAGCCAAGGCAGTATTTTTTAATTAGTCTGTGTTGGGTGTTAACTACTTAAAACACAGATTAAAGCAGATAGTAATTTATATTTTCTACAAGAGCTGATATACCCTCACTACCTGGTATTAAAATGGATCCAGCATGCATAACAATATGAAGATACTCAAGCAATACTGAGCTGTACACTTAAAAATAGTTAAGATGGTAAATGTTACTTTTTTAAAAAATTAAATAGGCCGCGCACGGTGGCTCACACCTGTAATCCCAGCACTTTGAGAGGCTGAGGCGAGTGGATCACGAGGTCGGGAGTTCAAAACCAACCTGGCCAAGATATTGAAACCCCATCTCTATGAAAGAATTAAAAAATATATATGTATATATAATGTGTGTGTGTATATATATATATATATATATATATATATAAATTACACATTTCTAATTCTTTTGTTTTTCTTCACCAGAATCTCCCTTAGTAATTTTTTAGTTACATTTTTTAAATGGATTTGGGTTCCTTTTTCTCAAAGAACCTGAACTGCCTTCACTTAACTTCTCTACATTTCAGTGCTGCTAGAGATAGAGAAATCAAGGGCATTATTATTGTTAGCACTGCTTTTCAGCCAAAGAGAAGAAACTGAGAGCGATGAAGTATCTTGCTTAAAGCATCACATAGTATAGCTCCTAGGTAGCAAGGCCAGGACTAGAACCTGCACGCCTTGCCTTGCACATGTTCTCACATCCTGTAACTTATCTGGCTGAAGAATAATTTAATAAATGCTCTCCTAACTTCATGCAGGAGGCGGAACCTAGACCCCTCTTGACCCCTTACATCCCACTCATCGTTAAATTTTAAAATGATGTTCTCTGAAATTTTTACTTTATTGTAGCGTAAAATGCAGCATGAGGATGAGGGTCCAGGCTGATAGGTATTTCACTTAGCAACTATTTATTTAGTACTCAGAACACACTCGGTGCTAGGGTCAGGCACTGTAGATGAGTAGGGAGTGGGCCAGACAGGGACGAGATGAGCAGGATCAAGCCCAGAGGGGTGCCGGGTACCGCCGCTCCGGCTCCAAGTGATGCGCGCAGTGGAGGCGGGGCACGGTGATCGCGGAGCATCTGGGGACGACCGGCCTGAGGGAGGCCGCCAGTCCCATGGAGACGCCCATCGGAGCCGGACCCAAACGCCTCGGAGAAGACTCTCAGGGGAGGGGCTCCGCGGCCGTCGCAGGGCCCAGCCGTTAGTCCCGCCGGCCGCGAGGAAGCAGAGGACTCACCAGATACCAGCACTTGCGACTCCCCAAACTCTCTCATCCTCCCGGCCGGAAGTAAACTGCGCGATCCGACCTGCTCAACCGCCCACCACGCACGCCCGGGCGCACGCCAGCAAGACAAGCTGCCGGACTGCAGCTCCCGGGATGCACTGCGACGGTATTGACAGATGCAGCAGCCAATAGACGGTAGATGATACCCTCGAGGAGCCAATCCCTCGGGCAGGAGGCGGGCCCTCTCGGTAGTTCCTCAGCAGTCAGTGGGCGTCTCCGCGGCGAGAGGCATGGACACCGCCCCCAACCCGTGCTCGCTGGTGCCGGGTGCCGTGTACCCCGGTCCAGAGTTCCCAGAGAGGTGAGTCCACTGCAGGTGGGTGCGGGACGCCGGGCAGCTCGAGGTAGTGTTGTCGCAGGCGCCAGCCCGAGCTCGCGCCGGCCGTGGAGTTCAGCTGCGCAGTGGGTTGCGGCAGCTTCGCCAGGCCGGGGGCTGGCTGGGCCGCGGGGCCGCCCTGGAGGCCGGAGCCGCCGGGCCTGCGGCGCCTCGGCAGCGAGCAGTCGTCTAGCTCTCGTGAACGAGGCTCTCCGCTCCCTCACACCCCCGGCTGACGCTGTGGCCTTGCTCGGTTGTACCGGTTAGCTCCCGATGACATGCGTCAGGTCGGTTTCCGCCGGGATGCGGGAGAGTTGGGGCAAGCTACCTGTGACAGTTTGAACTTTTCTTAGGAATTCCGCTCCACCCGCCGGTTAGAGCATATTTCTCATTTCACCCGAGACCTGTGTGCTTGCTACTGAAATAAAAGAAGTATTTTTTTCCCCAGAATCCTTTTAGGACGTTATGACTTTTCTCCTTTGCAAAACTGCAAAAAACTGACAGGAAGACAAAACTCTTCCCACTCCCAGAGATCGCTTTGTCTTGAGTTTGGGGTAAAGACTAGCAAGTGAGGTTTTGTTTCTGCATCCCGTTCTCCCTAACATCCTGAGAAAACCTTCGTTTCTAGCGTCTTTCTGGCATTCAGAGAGACTTCTCTAGGGTCATGATCACAAAGGCTTAACCCATTACAAGGAGAGAGTTGTCTCCTGATCCCCAAAATGGCAGCTAAAATGGAGATAACTTTGAGCTCCAACACTGAAGATTCCTCTAAGCAAGAGAGACACATAATAACAAAACTAGAGGAGAAACGGGAGCCTACTCCGCAAAAAAACTGCCCGGATCCTGAGCTCTGCCGCCAGAGCTTCAGACGCTTTTGTTATCAAGAGGTGTCTGGACCCCAAGAGGCGCTCTCCCAGCTCAGACAGCTCTGCCGTCAGTGGCTGCAACCTGAGCTGCACACCAAAGAGCAGATTTTGGAGCTTCTGGTGATGGAGCAGTTCCTGACCATCCTGCCCCCGGAGATCCAGGCTCGGGTCAGGCATCAATGTCCAATGAGCAGCAAGGAGATTGTAACCCTCGTGGAAGATTTTCACAGAGCATCCAAGAAACCAAAGCAGTGGGTAAGGAGGGTCCTCTCCCATGATCCTGGGGATTTCGTTTTCATCTGGGTAATGTTTGGTATCCGGATCTCTCCCTGTTTAAGGACTGAGTCTCAGAAGTGGACTGGATGGCTTCAGAAGTTGCTTCCAGCCTCTATCTGGGAACCTACCCTGAGTTGTAACAGGTTTTTAGAAAACCCAACTACTGGCCAGGCGCAGTGGCTCACTTTGAGAAGTCGAGGTGGGTAGATCACCTGAGGTCGGGAGTTTGAGACCAGCCTGACCAACATGGAGAAACCCTGTCTCTACTAAAAATACAAAATTAGCCGGGCATGGTGGCACATGCCTGTAACCCCAGCTCTTCAGGAGGCTGAGGCAGGAGAATCACTTGAACCCGGGAGGCGGAGGTTGCGGTGCGGTGGGCCAAGATCCAGCCATTGCACTACAGCTGGGGCAACAAGAGTGAAACTCCATCTCAAAAGAAAAAAAAAAAAAACCCACTGCTGATACCCAGTGAAGCAGTAGAGGACCAAGGTTCTTAACATTCTTTTATGCACCTTGTGCCACCAGAAATAATTGTAAGGTTCTTGTACCTTTTATGTCAGAACTTCCCCAAACTCATTTTCTTAGTTTTCCTACAATCAGAATTCTTAGCAGGCAGGATCACCCTTTTGGATAGCAGTTGGACTTTGGGGAACTTAATTTCATTGGAAGTTCTAGCTTATTGTGTTTCCAGTGTTTAGCTTATTGTATTTTTTTTTTTTTTTTTTTTGAGATGGAGTCTTGCCCAGGCTGGAGGAGAGTGGCATCATCTTGGCTCACTGCAACCTGCGTCCACCTTGGGGTTAAAGCAGTTCTTGTGTCTCAGCCTCCAGAGTAGCTAGGATTACAGGCGCCCGACACCATGCCCAGCTAATTTTTGTATTTTTTAGTAGAGAGGGGGTTTCACCATTTTGGCCAGGCTGGTCTCAAACTCCTGACCTCAAGTGATCCTCCCACCTCAGCCTCTCAAAGTTTTGGGATTATAGGCGTGAGCCACCACACCTGGCCTAGCTTATTGTCTTTTTTGTTTGTAGTTTTTTTTTTTTTTTTTTTTTTTGAGACTGGGTCTCACTGTGTCACTGAGACTGGAATGCAGTAGCACGAGCTCGCTGCTGCCTCCACCTCTGGCTCAACTGACCCCCCCACCTCAGCCTCTCAAGTAGTTGGGACTGCAGGTACATGCCACCACAACTGGCTAATTTTTGTACTTTTGTAAAGACAGGGTTTCTCCACGTTGCCTAGGCCGGTCTTGAGTTCTTGGGCTCAAGCAATCTGCTCATCTTGACCTCCCAAAGTGCTAGGATTACAGGTGTGAGCCACACCATGACTGGCTTATTGTCTTTAGATCAGGAAGTTACAGTTCAGTTGGCCAATGTTGCCACTGCTTGCCACTCCACTCCGGGAAATCAGACCCCAGTCAGGACCTAGGCAAGAAACAAACAGCAGGTACTTTGGAAAATAGAACTTGTTAGGGAATGAGGGTGGGGTGGTTCTCTTAGATCTCTACTACTACTGGGATCTGCTTACCAGGAAAGCCTTTGGCAGAACAACGCATTAGATAAGAAGGGTTTTTAACAGCCCCTCACCATACTGCTTTCTGTTCCTGGGAGGCCTATTTCCAGCAGAAGTAGGTAGGAAGATGGTGTGTAGAGTAGGCAACTGATGGCCCAGTGTTGTGACTGTTTCTGATGTTTGTGCCAGCAACTACCCTGATGACTTTGACTCAGGGCCTTGAGAAAGGCCCAAGCTTTAGGGGAAGCCACTCAGCTGACTTGTAGCATCCTCGTTCGTGTCATTCTACATGCCCTTACCTTTGCTTCCTTTGAGGGTTTCAGTGGTTTCTATGAAAGTTGATCTCTAGATGGTTATCAGCAGTTCCCAAAGTAAATAGGTCATTATATAACAGTGAGAGATCAAGCTTCCCTCAGTCCTGATGGATGGAATTAATGGATGGGTCTTGTTCCTAGGTGGCTGTTTGTATGCAGGGGCAGAAGGTGCTCTTGGAGAAAACTGGATCGCAGCTTGGAGAACAGGAACTGCCAGACTTTCAACCACACACTGCTAGGAGAAGTCTCAGGGAGACCTCTCCAGCAGAGTCTTCCCAGGCGGAAGCTTATGACCAGCTGAGCCCCCATCATTGGGAGAAATCCTCGCTCCTCCAGGAACCAACCCCAAAATTGGCTGGGACAGGTAAACACTCTGTGCCGTTTCTCTCTCTCTCATCAGTCCTTTATCTCCATCAGTGTATCTCATGGTTCTGAAAAGGCATAGACCACATGTGTGTGTGTTTTTAAATGTTGTATATAATAGTAGGTGATTATTCCCTAAACAAATTTCACCAATTAGAATGGTGGTGATACTATAAATATGTTTTTATCATTTTCTGTTAATGAATATTTGACAATCCAGTATATGACAGGATTGTACCAACTTTTCTGTCCCTTTAAGAACTTCTTTTTTTTTTATTTTTTTTATTTTTTTTTTTTTGAGATGGAGTCTCACTCCGTCGCCCAGGCTGGAGTGCAGTGGTGTGATCTTGACTCACCACAACCTCCGCCTCCTGTGTTCAAGTGATTCTCCTGCCTCAGCCATCTGAGTAGCTGGGATACAGGCACACAACAGCATGCCTGGCTAATTTTTGTATTTTTAGTAGAGACAGGGTTTCACCATGTTGGTCAGGCTGGTCTTGAACTCCTGACCTCGTGATCTGCCCACCTCGGCCTCCCAAAGTGCTGGGATTACAGGTGTGAGCCACTGCGCCTGGCCCAGAACTTCTTATAGAAAAGACAGATCCAAATATGGCCACAGATGAACTTCCATGCAAGCAATGGTTGAGTTTCATTACTTAAAATGCTCTCCTGTTTAGAAGGGGCCTGGAAGAGGAAAAGCTTCACCCCATATCATTTATCTTTGTCCTCCTCTGTGATGATGTTTGTACTTTAAATCCTCGAATCGATTTCCCTTTCTCTGATGTGATACTTGTGTTACCGCTGCCTTTGTTGTATACAATCCTGTGATCTCTAAGCCTGAATGACAGTGACAATTTGGCCAACCCTGGTGATGTGAATATAAGATACAGTGAGCACGTTAGAGAAGAGGGTTATGACAAGACAAAATCCTTATTTTCTTAACATTTGCTACATTCAGTGACGTACTGTGTGTCTTAGTCTCTTTATATATTTGCTGCTAATATAAAATACTAGAGACTAGGTAGTTTATAAATAACAGGAGTTTCTCACAGTTATAGAGGCAGGGAAGTGTGAGTTCAAGGTGCCATCATGGTTGGGTTCCAGTGAGGGCCCTCTTCCAGATCACAAACTAGCCTGCTTCTCTCAGTCCTCATGTGGTGGAAGGGGAAGACTGGCTCCTGGGAGCCTCTTTCATAAAGGCATTAATCCCATTCCAGTGAGGGCAGCACCCTCATAACCTAATCAAAGGCCTCACCTCCCAAAAGCCCCATCTCCTAATACTATTACCTTGGGAGTTAGAATTTCATATGAATTTGGGGGAACATAAACATTCAGCCCCTGGCAACCACAGCCTACTTTTTGTCTCTGGATTTGCTTAGCCAGGACATTTTATATAAATGGAATCACATAGGCTGGGCACAGTGGCTTACACCTGTAATCCCAGCACTTTGGGAGGCCAAGGCAGGCAGATCACTTAGGCTAGGGCATTCAAGACCAGCCTGCGAAACATGGTAAAACCCTGTCTCTACAAAGGTACAAAAATAAGTGGGGCATGGTGATGGACGCCTGTAATCCCAGCTAGTGGGTGAGCTGAGGCAGGAGGAGCACTTGAACCTGGGAGGTCGAGGCTGCAGTGAACTGAGATTGTGCCATTGCACTCTGCCCTGTGTGAAAGTGAGACCCTGTTTCAAAAAAAATAACAAATAAATAAATAAATAAATGGAATCACACAATATGTGGTCTTTTGTGTGTGGCTTCTTTCACTGAGCATGTTTTCAAGTTTTATCCATGCTGTAGCATGAATCAGTGCTTCATTTCTTTTCTGTGGCTGAATAATGTGCATTGTATGAATATATTACATGTTGGTTACCTGTTCATGTTGGCTCATCTATTCATAAACTTTTGGGTTGTTTCCACTTTTTGGTTATTATGAAGAATGCTGCTATAAATGTGTGTTTTTGTGTAGACATGTTTTCGTTTCTCTTGAGTATACACCTAGGAGTGGACTTACCATATGCTAGGTCATTAACTTACGAGGAACTACCAAACTATTTTCCAAAGGAACTGTACCATTTTACATCCCCACCAATACTATATGAGGATTCCAGTTTCTCCACATTCTTGCTAGCACTTGTTATTGTCCTATATCCATCCTATTAGGTGAAAAGTTTTGATTTGAGGTTTTGGTTTACATTTCCCTGATGACTAATGGTGTTGAACATCTTTTCTTGTGCTTATTATCCAATTACATATCTTGTTTGGAAAAATGTCTGTTGAGATCCTTTGCTTATTTTTAATTAGGTTATTTGTCTTTATTTTTTATGAGTCCTTTATATACTCTAGGTACTAGACTCATATATAATTTGCAAATTTTTTCTCTCATTCTGTGAGTTGTCTCACTTTCTTGATAGTGTCCTTTGAAGTACAAATGTTTTTTATTTTGTTGCAGTCTAATTTATGTTTCTTTGTTTATGCTTTGGTATCATGTGTAAAATACCATTGCCTAATCCAAGGGCACAAATATGTACGGCTGTGTTTTCTTCAAAGAGACATAGATTTAGGTATTTGGTCCATTTTAAGTTAATTTCCCCCATACATAAAGAAATAAGTCAATTTTATATATGATTTTGAGGTAGGAATCTGTCTTAATCTGGTCAGGCTGTTATAACAAAATGCCTTAGACTTCCCACTTGTAAATAACAGAAATGTATTGCTCACTGTTCTGGATGCTGGGAAGTTCAAGATTAAGGTGCCAGCAGATTTGGTGTTTGGTGAGGGCCCATTCCTCATAAATGGTGCCTGCTGTGAGTCCTCACATGGAAGAATGGGCAAACTAGCTCTCTTGGGCTTCTTTTATAAGGACACTGATCCCATTTATGAGGACCCCACCCTTATAACCTAATCACCTCCCAGATGCCCCACCTCCCAAGACGACTGCGTAGGTGACTAAGTGTCAATATATGTGTGTTGAGGGACGGGGGGAATAAACATGTAGACTATAGCAGGGTCCAACTTCATTCTCTTGTATGTGGAAATCCAGTTGTCCTAGTATCATTTAATGAAAAAAGCTATTCTTTTCCCATTGAATTGTCTTGTCAAAAAGTAGTTGACCCTGATCTTATAGATTGATTATTTACATTTGAATTTAATTAAAATTAAATAAAATTTAATATTAAGTTCTTTAGTCACAGTAGTCACATTTCAAGTGCCCAGTAGCCACATAGTTACATGTGGCTAGTGGCTGCCATTTTAAACAGCATGCATGCAACTCTGCATGCACAGGCATACACACACACATTTTCCACATCACAAGGAGTCCTTTTCCAGATCCTGTGACTTCCCACAGGCTGTTTGAGCTTATCTCCATCCAGACCATCAATCCTTCTGTAATTAGGATATATGGCTAACCTGTATTCCAGTTTCTGAACTCATATACTGTCAAATTTGTAATGAAAACACCACAGTCTCTGAACTTACCATCTTTTGAAGAGAAGGTAGTTGTCAGTTAGTGTTTACTAAGTGAGGGGTATTTGTTGAAATGGCTAAGGCAGTGGACTACAACAGTAAAATTTACAATGTTGAGATTTCACCTCTCTTCCTTCTTTCATTCATTAGTGGATACCCTGTTCTGACGGGTTTGCTTTTCCCTGTTCTTCCTTTCCTAAATTTTTCCCTAAAGATAGGAAGGAGGTTGGAAAACTTGGTTCCTAAATTTAATATAAATCACAGTCACACCAGGAGCCTGCAGATTATCAGGCCCAACCCCCAGAGATTCTGACCTAGCAGCTTTGGGGGAAGGGTGAAGAGCCTGCTTGTTTAACAAGTGCTCCAGATGAGTCTAATGCAAGTTGCCAATGGAGGGCCACCCTTTGAGAAACCTTTCAGAGTATTTCATAACTCTTGCTGAAGTTATTTCTTCCAAGCACAGAAAATGAAGCATTTTCTTTCTAATTATAGAGGCCCCCAGAATGAGAAGTGACAACAAGGAAAATCCACAACAGGAAGGGGCCAAAGGAGCAAAGCCATGTGCAGTGTCAGCTGGCAGATCTAAAGGGAATGGCCTGCTGAGTCCTGAACCAAGAGGGGCAAATATGACTGAATCTCGGTTGTCACGGAGGCAGGTCAGCCCCCAAAATGCTCAAAAGCCATTTGCTCACTACCAGAGACATTGCAGGGAACTGGAATACATCAGCAGCCCCCTAAAAAGCCACCCACTGAGAGAGCTGAAGAAAAGCAAAGGAGGTAAACGGAGCCTGAACAACCGTTTGCAACATCTTGGTCACCAGCCCACCCGCTCAGCAAAGAAACCCTACAAATGTGATGACTGTGGGAAAAGCTTCACATGGAATTCAGAGCTGAAGAGACACAAGAGAGTCCACACAGGAGAGAGACCCTACACGTGCGGAGAGTGTGGAAACTGCTTTGGGCGGCAGTCAACCCTGAAGCTGCACCAGAGGATCCACACTGGAGAGAAGCCATACCAGTGCAGCCAGTGTGGGAAAAGCTTTCGCCAGAGCTCAAACCTTCACCAGCATCACAGGCTCCACCACGGGGACTGAAAGTAGTACTCCATGCTTTAGATTCATAAGAAAGGTGTTTGTGTTTCTCCTCCCCCTCACTTGCATGTAAATCACAAAGACTGTGTGACTTACAAGGAAAGCAAGACGCCCTTGTGGAATGATGCACATTCTGCTGGTGAGGAGGCCCAGAAGAGGCTGACCAGGGCCTGACGATGTATGGTGACAGGGTGAAGGGGTGGCAGGTCTGGGCATTGGGGCAAAAAGAACTTAAGTCTCTGCAGAGAGCAAGGAGTAACAACTGAGAGAGAATAAGGACAACCCTGTAGGTGCTGCTTGTTAAATCATCCCTCTGTTGCTTTATCCTCTAAAATATGTTAAGGGATAAATTCTATATATAGTTATGCATTTGCTGTCATACCAGACAATTTTTTATCATGCACATACTTCTTTAATAAAGATGAGTGATCTATGATAGTTTCAAGGCAAAGTTCATTGGAAAATAGATCCCTCAATATTCTTTCTCTAATTCCTAGCCGTTTATAGCAAAGGATGAATTAAATGAGAATATGCACATTTGTGTGAGAAGAGTTTCCAAGTAATTAGATGGTGCTTTTACAAAAAGAAAAAATTACATTTGAGGGAACTTTTTGTATCAAAGCACTTTTTTTTTTTTTCTTTTTCTTTTTGGAGACAGGGTCTCACTGTTGCCCAGGCTGGTCTTGAACTCCTGGGTTCAAGCAGTGCTCCTGCCTTGGCCTCTCAGAGTGCTGAGATTACAAGTGTGAGCCACCATTCCTGTCCTCAAAACGCCTCTGATTGAGGGAAAAAAAAAATCTATACAGTTGCTGCAACCCCAACCTAACACATAAGGAAAAGCTACAGTGAGAAGCAAGTAGTGGACAGAGACTACTAAGGAGATGTAAGAGGGAATTCTTCCCACTCTCCTTTCTCATTAGCCCATTAGCCTTAAGAATAACAAAATGCAGCAGGGGCACAGTGGCTCACACATGTAATCCCAGCACTTTGAGAGGCTGAGGCAAAAGGATTGCTTGAGCCCAGGAGTTAGAGGCTGTAGTGAGCTATGATTGCACCACTGCCCTCTAGCCTGGATGACAGAGTGAGACCCTGTCTCGAGGGGGAAAAAAAAGGATTGTGATAATGAAAATATTCTAAAACTGGATTATGGTGATGGTTGCACAACTTAGTAGATTTACTAAAAATCACTGAAATGGGTTAATTTTATGATATGTAAATTGTACCTCAACAGCATTTTTTTTTTTTTTTTTTTTTTTGAGGCAGAGTCTTGCTCTGTTGCCAGGCTGGAGTGCAGTGGCGCAATCTCGGCTCGCTGCAGCATCCACCTCCTGGGTTCAAGTGATTCTTATTTTTAAGTGACAAAACATATAAAAATAGGTCCTGGAACTAAGCCTGAGAGATATCTAACGCCACCTCCTTGTTTTCTCAAAGTGTAAATTAAAATGCAAATCAGTACACAATTCCTAGCTCATTTCTCAATTTAGAGAAAACTTTTGGCAGATTAGTGCATTCCTGATGCAGAAAATAGAAACAGGTAGGGTTTTTTTGTTTGTTAGGTTTTTTTTTTTTTTTTGAGACAGAGTTTCACTCTTGTTACCCAGGCTGGAGTGCAATGGCGCGATCTCGGCTCACCGCAACCTCCGCCTCCTGGGTTCAGGCAATTCTCCTGCCTCAGCCTCCTGAGTAGCTGGGATTACAGGCATGCACCACCATGCCCAGCTAATTTTTTGTATTTTTAGTAGAGACGGGGTTTCACCATGTTGACCAGGATGGTCTCGATCTCTTGACCTCGTGATCCACCCGCCTCGGCCTCCCAAAGTGCTGGGATTACAGGCTTGAGCCACCGTGCCCGGCTCGATTGTTAGTTTTTTGTCTTTTTTAGAGATAGTGTCTTGCTCTCTCACTCGGTCGTCCAGGCTGGAGAGCAATGGCATGATCATGGCTAACTATAGCTTCAACCTTCTGGGCTCAAGCAATCCTCCTGCCTCAGCCTCCCGAGCAGCTGGGACTATAAGAAGGCACCACCATGCCTGGCTAATTTTTAATTTTTTTATAGAGACAGAGTCTCACTGTGTTGCCCAATCTATCCTCGAACACA